CTGCTAGCTTCTTCTTCTTCTTTTTTTTTTTAACATATAATGTATTATTTGTTTCAGAGGTACAGGTCTGTGATTCATCAGTCTTACACAATTCACAGCATTCACCACAGCGCATACCCTCCCCAATGTCTATCACCCCGCTACCCCATCCCTCCCACCCCCAACCACTCCAGCAACCCTCATTTTGTTTCCTGAGATTAAGAATTCCTCATATCAGTGAGTGTGATGACCCTCTCTTCTAAGGAAGATGAAAAGTTTACCAACAGGGTGCTGTGGTTTGACAAGTGGGGATGTGGAGGGGAAAAGGCAAGCTTAGTATTGCAGCTCTCAATTGCCTCTCCCACCCAGGCAGTTCCCATCAGCTGGGGGCTGCAGAAGCAAGGTAGGGCCCGTATTTGCAAAGACGCATAAGCTGAACACCAGCAGTACATTGCACTCACCAGATTTGCAAGGATGTAGTGGTAGCCGATGCCGTTCTTCTCCAGCTTTATGATCTACAAAACACAACGGGAAGGGATTCATCAATCAGATTTGCAATTAAAGCTACAACAGCAATAATAATAGCAACTAACACCGAGTGCTTACAATGTGCCCCGTCCTATCCTAAGTACTCAAATTACAATATTACAGCCATTCAGCGATGGTGGCATTATGGATACCCTCATTTTACAGATGAGGAATTGAGGCATGGAGAGATTAAATAAGCTCCCTAAGGTTACCCACCTATTAAGTGGCAGATGCAGGACTTGAAATCAGTTTTATCTGATACTAGGGGTAGAGGAGTGTTATCCTAACCCCCCAAATTCAGATGAAATGCTCATTTCACTGCTTCTTCCATAAAGCCTTTCCCTGGATGGAGATTCTTTCCTGGTGTGAATCTTATGCTGTGTTGAATTCCCTGCCACTAAAATGACAATATCTGCTGCTTGGATGGATGGATGGATGGGTGTGGGTGGATGGGTCAGATAGGTAGGTTCTTGACCTTCAGGTCCTTGCATGAACCATATTCAGATCTGGTTCCTTCTTTCCCTGAATATTGTGCCTTCTTCCCTAAACTAGTTGGATACCCAGGAATTAACAGACCATTCAACCTGGAAGTTAGAAGGGAATGTCAGGATCAGATGGTCCAACCTTCCACTGTACAGATGGGATGTTCAGGCCTAGAGAGGAGAAATGATTTGCCTAGATCCTGTGGCAGTGCCAAGACAGGAACCCGACTATTGTTGAGTCTTTGTATGTAACACCAAATTATGGTTAATCATTAAGAGCCAGGATCCCCCCAAACCCCTCCATCCTCAATGTGCAGACTTTTGTAATCATTGTGGGCAGGAAAAATATTTGTGGAATGAATTATCCAGAGGTTTGCTCAGGCAGCCAGACACACCACCCAAGGAACAGCTAAGAGCATAGGCCTTGGTTTAGCCCTAGCTCAGCCTGCAAGTTAACTTGATCTATTTCTTTATTTTTTAATCATGAAATTGGGGTTAGTACATTCTGCTCAGTGCCTCTCCTCCACTCTTACAAGAAGGCATAGAACATATGAGAAGCACTTGGGCTTCTTGTCTAACTGAATAAATTTTCAAGGTTATTAAAATCCACATTCAGACATCTACTTAATTGGATGTATGTGCATAGCGGCTCACATATATATATATTTTTTTAATGTAGGGAATAATTAAATGCAAGCACACTCAACGAATGCTCTGAAACAGTGGTTAGATTGTGAAATTCCAGGCCACAGAGCTCAAATACTATTGGGATGATAGTTTTATTAATAATTCTTCATTACTTTTCCATCTTCTTGTCAAACGGTTTGCTGCCCTTTCAATAATAAGATACCTTCACCAAAAACCTATTTAGCTTCTAATAAACATAAAACAGCAAATAAGAGATCTTTCAAAACCTACCACATTTAGGCAATGGATAAGAATAGTCTCTGCAAGATGAAATTACAGATTGAAACATAAGAAACAGATGAAATTGATGACTTTGGGTTAATAAAAATTAGCAATTTCATACGGTTCAACATAATGCCAACCTTCCCACCCATTTTTTTCACCTACCAATGCATTGCTCTCTCTTCCCTCCTTTCCTACCTTCTTTTCACAAACATTTATTAAGTGCTTATTCTGTATTGAGCACTATGCTGTGGATACAGTGGGAAGTGAGACATGCATGGTCCTAGCTTCCCTGGAGGTCCCACTTTACTGGGACAAGACCCACACTAAACAGATGAAGAGGTGAATGCCCCAGGGTTACAAACTGAGAGAGGTGTTATAAAGGTACTGTATGATTTCATGTGGAGCCCATAGCCTTGCTCACCCTATTCCTCAAAGCTCATTTCCACTGGGCTGCCTTAATTCATAATCCTTGTGTCTGGAATGTCCTTTTCCATTCTTTCGGATTATTCATAACCTTTATGGCTGAGCTCGAATCCCAACTACTCTGTAAAACCTTCTCTGGTTAATTAATGCAACCATCAGGTATTTATTGAACAGGGACAATATGCCGAGCACTATGCTATGTGCTCGGGACAACCTGTGGCCATGTGAGGCAGGGTCCTCGTGCCCTCTCTAAGCTGAACTGATGTTTTAGTAGGGAGACAGATGGTAAATATATAAACAGATAAATGAATAAGATTTCAGCAAGTGAGAAGCACTATGAAGACAGTAAAGCAGGGTGATGTGATGGATGGCCTAATCCTGGTCTCTCTCATCTTTAACTCATTCTGAACTTAATGACTGTACTATATAATTTGGTGTCTAATATATTGACAAAGCATTATATTCTAATAACCCTGTTCCTTGCTCACAAACCTTTACTGACTCTCCACTGATTCTCTATGGAATAAACCCTAAACTCCTTAGAATTATTTCCAAGGATAGTCTCAATCATGTGACAGTCACTGTCTCCCAGTAGACACGTGGCATCCTCGCTAAGCCAACCTATGAACGCCAGCCCTCACATGCCCTCCGGGCCTCCCTACATGCCCTTCTCTCCCGCTTAATGGCTCTTATCCAGCCAATGACTACCTGTAAATATTCAGAGCTATCTCACATTTGGGATCTTTTCTAGAGCCTTCATTGATTCCCTATTCTTTCCAGGCACTCAAAATTATTGATTGAATACCTACAAGGTACCAAACACTGTTTAAGGCACTGTGAATACCACAAAGAAGAAAATAAAGCAAAAATCCTTGCCCTCATAATGCTGGTATTCTAGTTGGGGGGCTGGAGACAGAGACAGGCAATTCCCTACCTGGCATTGAGAATCCCTATCTCCCACCTTAGGTTAGGCAGGACATTTGTATTAGACCAAAAAGATCCCAATTCAAGTGTTCTATTGTTTAGAATGATGTCAAGATGTCAGGCTATAAGCCATTAGATGTAAATTCGAGACTCATCACTGTTACCAACTAGTTTTCTGAACCCAAGGCAAGTCAACCAATGTGACCATCAGTTATCCCATCTGTAAAATGTGAATGCATGTGGTAAATCAAGTGATCTGTAAGATCCATTCAGCTCTTTGGTCTTGCTTTTCAAATGAGAAGAATCCAAAAGTTAAGAGTTAATATACTACATCTAAGATGCCCATACAAACAAGTCACTTCCTTACAAAACTTAAGTTTGTCTTTTGACAGAGGAAGTGGCTAGAGACAACAGAGGCTGAAAAGTTACATTTTTAGGAAGGTTGGGCCCCACTGTCAGACTAAGATGGGTTTGACTTCTTGCTTTTCTAACATGCTAGCTGTGAAATCCCAGGCAAGTATAGTCCCTTGTTTCTTCATTTATAAATTAGGGGACATGATAGAAGTGGTTTTATAGAGTAGATGTGAAGATGAGGTAGCGTGATGCATGGGAAGGACTTGGCATGGTGTCTGGTATATGGCAAGAGCACAGAAAATGGTAGCACCAGTTACTGTCTACTACAGAACAACAAAGGCCTAGTCATCAGTCTGTTAAGAATACCTAATTATCATTCAGTACTTCTTCCAACTGCTATCTCATCCAATCTTTTTCTCAGCTCTGTAGAACAGGGGCCATCATTCCTATTTTGCAGATGAGAACACTTATGACCAAAGAGGGAAGTGACTCAAGAAGGTAGTACTAGGTGGTGCTAGAAATAGTAAAACTAGGCAAAGGCTTACATATATCACTTTCTGTGGGGCAGGCTCTGTTCTAAGTGCTTTACATGAATAGATTGTTTTAACTCTCACAGGAGCCCTCTGAAGAAAGCTATAATTATTATTATGCCCATTTCACAGATCAGGAATCTGAGACAAGAAAGATTAAAAACCCGGCCGTAGGTCATGGAGGTAGTAAAGACTAGAGCTGGGGTTTAACTCGCAGCCAGTCTGGCTGCAGGGTTTCTGTGCTTAACCATTACCCTATACTGCCTTGTTTAACTAGCATTCAAATCCCTTGAGTCCAGCCCAGAGAATGCCCATCTCATGGAAACAATTTTTTCTGGTTTCTCTTTCCAAGAGGGAAGGCCAGATCCATACTTTGTGGAGTAGAACACATACTTAAAGCCTTAAACAATCCCTGATTTTCAAAATCTCCCCTGTTCTGTTGCTGAGGCCTCTGAGTAGTTGCTGAGCTGGTGGCGAGATTCCAGGTGGGGGTCCCAGGGTCTTGAAAGGCCATCAACAAGCTCTGTACCTAAAGCTACCATCTGTACTTATACAGCACTGTTAAAGGATGATTGCCAAATCTACTTTCTTGCTAGTTCACCTGGATACACAGTGTAAGTTTGTCAAAAAGACAAGAGATCAACACAAAGGCCTGCTACCTGTGAAGTGGGTACGTGCTCTCATTCTGAGAATGGGAAGAACCATGGCTTAGAGACCTCTGGCCAAAAAACTGTTGAGGTTACAGTGCCCTTTCACAGAATGTACAATCAGTGGATTTCTCATACACATGAGTGTATTTAAGGAAACAGTAGAGAGGTGCTTGCTGCTTCCCTGAACTCTTAAAACAGGGCAGTGGGCTGGATGGATGAGATGCCAATGGCTAGACCAGTGAGTAACGGAACTCAGAGCTGAACCCAGGAATCTGGCTCTATATATAGCCTGTGTTCCCCATGTGATGGTACTTCACAAACTCTAAAATGCAATGCAATCTGCTTTTTCACTATAAAGGGAAACCCTGGAGGTAAGTTTTTGGTCAACTGATCTGAGAACCATTTGAACCCCTAGGTCCAGTCTCCCATTGTTTGTGCTATTTTAGAAAAATTCAGAATTAAAATGTATAAATTACAGAAGGTGGGGAAGAAGTCACCTTCTCATCTAGTCAAGCGCTCTCTTTGTAACACCAAGGGGCAAAAGGCCATCTGGCTCCCTCTTGAACTCCTGCCCTCACCCATTCTGAGCCTTTGCTGCATGCACTACCTGGCCCAAGATGGCATTGAGGCGTTCTGATTCACAGTCCACAACCACTAGCCTCTCCTTTTTCTTTTCCAGGTCCTGAAAGAGCATCCGGTATCCCTCCTCTGTGGTGGTTAAAATGTTGACTGCTGTCACCTGCCAGTTCTTCTCGGCAGCTGTGTCCAGGACTTTCTGCAGGACGGACAGACCTTGAAATTGGGTAAGACGGAGAAGTGGCAATCAGGATACGCAGGTACCAACCCGCCTCCACTCGGCACCCACCTCCCTTGTCTCCCCCCACCGGCTCCTCTACCACGTTCAGCTCAGCTTTCTCCCACCGTAGCAAGTCAGAGCTCACTGAAGGCAGACAGCAGGTCTCTTTTGGGCTTCTGTTTCTAGAACTTAGCCAGCAGTAGTGTTAGTGATTAAAAATATAACCAAAGGCTCAAATCCTGAAGATACAATATATTGGTTAAGTGACCCTGTAAAGACTACTTACCTTCTTCAAACTTTAGTTTCTTTAATGGTAAAATGGTGGTGTTAATAATGCCTACCTCATGGTATCATCATGAGGATTAAATAAGGATGTCTGATACATGGCAAGGGTTTTATAAATAGTATTGGGCATTTAGTAGCTGCTTATTAAATGTGTGCCAACCTGACATCTAAATAGGCACCTAATAACTCTCAAATTTATGGATGTTCAGTACCTGATACTTTGCCTCTTCCATAGTAGGTATCCAATCAGTGTGTATTGAATTAAATTATTCTCTTCTGATTTATAGTTAAATGATAGAGGAGCCCATTACTCAGTGCAGCTTTGTTTCATCTTTGAGACATAAATGGTGTCTCAGTTTCCTGCTGCTGCTGTAACAAATCACCACAAACTCATTGGTCTAAAACAACACACATTTATCATCTTATATTGCCACAGGTCAGTTTGAAATGAATCTCCTTGAGCTAAAATCAATGTGTCAGTGGGGCTGTGTTGCTCTCTGGAGGTTCTAGAGGAGAAGATTTTCTTGCCTTTCCAACTTCTCGAGGCTGCTTGCATTCCTTGGTTTATGGCCCCTTCCGACTTCAAAACCAACAGTGACTGGTCAAGTCTTTCACACATCACCCTCTGACACTGACTCTTCTGCCTCCAGCTTCCACACTGAAGAACGCCTGTGATTACACTGGGCCCAGGTAAAGAATCCAAGATGATCTGTCTAAGGTCAAGGGATTAGCAGTGTATATTCCATCTGTAACCTTGATCCCTCTGGCCATTGAATATAACACATTTCCAGGTTCCAGAAATTCTCAGAACAGAGACATCTTTGGGGGGGAAGATGGAGGTCATTTTTCTGCCTACTTCAGATGGTTGTTTCACTCTTGCATTATTAATCAATCTTTTGTACATATATCATTTGTTTCCTTGTAACCCTGCTAATCCCTCCCACAGTGACCAGTATGATGCCTGGCCTCAAGAATCATCTCTAGATTGATGCTGTTATGCCTTTTTTTTTCTTTTTAAAAAAATTTATTTAAATTCAATTAGCCAACATATAGTACATCATCAGTTTTTGATGTAGTGTTTAATGATTAATTAGTCACGCGTAACACCCAGTGCTCATCATATCACGTGCCCTCCTTAATGCCCGTCACCCAGTTACCCCATCCCCCCACCCACCTCCCTTTCCCCACCGTCAGTTTGTTTCCCAGAGTCAAGAGTCTCTCATGGTTTGTCTCTCTGATTTCTTCCCATTCAGTTTTCCTTCCCTTCCCCTATGATCCTCTGTGCTATTACTTATATTCCATATATGAGTGAAACCATATGATAATTGTCTTTCTCTGATTGACGTATTTCACTTAGCATAATACCCTCCAGTTCCCTGCATGTCGATGTAAATGGTAGGTATTCATCTTTTCTGATGGCTGAGTAATATTCCATTGTATATATGAGCCACATCTTTTTTAGTCATTCATCTGTTGAAGGGCATCTTGGCTCCTTCCACAGTTTGGTTATTGTGGACATTGCTGCTATGAACATTGGGGTGCAGGTGCCCCTTCTTTTCACTATGTCTGTATCTTTGAGGTAAATATCCAGTAGTGCAATTGCTGGGTCGTATGGTAGCTCTATTTTCAACTTCTTGAGGAACCTCCATACTGTTTTCCAAAGTGGCTGCACTGCTTGCATTCCCACCAAAAGTGTAGGAGGGTTCCCCTTTCTCCACATCCTCACCAACATTTTTCTTCCCTGTCTTGTTAATTTTTGCCATTCTAACTGGTGTAAGGTGGTATCTCCTTGTGGTTTTGATTTGTATTTCCCCGATGCCAAGTGATGTGGAACATTTTTTTCTCCGATGCCAAATGATATGGAACATTTTTTCATGTGTCTGTCTCCTTTGGAGAAGTATGCCTTCTTATCTTTGTTTCTTTTTCAATGCAAGCTATTTGGTGTGCTTACACCTCACATTGACTGCAAGTTTACTATGTGTCTAGCACTATTCTACTAGCTTTCTTGTTTTCAATTTATTTAATCCTATGAGGTACATCTCATATGCAGATACGAAAATTGAGGCTCAGAGAGATTTAGTCATTGGCCCAAGGTCACATAGATAGCAAATGGCAGAGATCTGAGCTCAGATTTCTGAGACAGACAGAGTCCTTTAAGAGCATGGGTGTTTCTGCCAACCACAGAAGTGATTCTCTATAATCAAAGTTACATTTTTCTGGGTTCTGGGAAGTAGGTTTGCCACTTTGAGGCCTCAAGCTTCAGTATGCTGTAAAGCTGTCCTGAAAAAGCCCTTCTATGGGTATAATCCTCACAATGACTGCTATTTGAGAAGGCAAATCCTCAAAATAAGGAGAGGGGAGGGAAAATTGAAGAAAGCAGAGGGTTTCTGGTCTCTTCTGCTGGCTCCTCCTCATTGAATAATGCTTGTTTAACACTGCCCCCCAAAATTGATCTCACAAGCCTCCTACTCTAAAGTCTTCTAGGCCTTCCTGTAAAACTAGGCCTTCCTGCAAATAAAACCTCCCCTTCACTCAGGGCAAAACTCCTCTGCCTCAGTTTCCAGACCTTGCATAATCCATTTATTTATTTATACCAATAATGACTCAGTTCTGATGACTATTTAGTATTCAAGGGAAAGGTAGGAGAGTACAGTACAACCACCACAGGCATTAGAAAAAAGAGGATAGTTCCCATTTCAGAATTAGGGAATAGAGTGTTTGAGCAGGCTGCAAAAGAAAGGGAGGATTCACATATGTAGATCTGGAAAAGCAAGTGCATTCCAGAAAAGAGGAACAGCATGAAAGATGCAGAGAAGAAAAAAAGCAAAGGAAACATTTGGAAAACATGATGTAAAATTCAAAATGTAAGTGGAAGCACAATTAGAAGGGTAGGGAGAGGTGGTGATGATGATGGTGATGATGATGATAGCTAACATATATGGAAGACTCTGAGCACTTATGTCCCATGCACTGACAGGAACTTTCTAGTCATCTCATTCAATCCTCACAGCAACTTTAGGAGGCAGAAATTAGGTTTATCTTATTACAGAGATGAGGGAATGAAGGCATAGAAAATCTTAGCCTCAACATAAATGGTCAAACTGAGGCATAAAAGAACTTGCCCAAAGACAAAGAGCTGGAGAGGATAAGACATAGAATTTAGATCCAGATCTGTCTGACCCTAGAGTCTGTGCTCCTGACAACTACACTGTGAGCCATGGATCATTCAAAGGAGGCCCTTAGGTTTTGAGTCTGGACTCAGGAGCCATGGAAGCTTGGTGAGCTGTAGAGTGGCATGGTGTGTTAAGGGGATTATTCTCTCAAAGGATGTGTTTCCACTCTGTGAGTTGGAGATTAGCCACTGAGAAATCAGTCCATAGAAATAATGCATTTCTGGATCATTCCCCCCATGCTTTTCAATGAGGCAGGGAGGCATCATTCTCCTTCCTGCTGGCAATTTTCTCTCTATCTCTCAACAGTCTCCCTCCCCTAACCCTTGGCTTACCCCGGTCGGCATCATAAATGTAGACAAATTTCTGCCACTTGTAATGGTCGATGATGCTGATAAGAGCATCCTGCAGCTCAGGGCGCAGCTGAAGGACGAACTGATTGGAGGTGTCAACGGGAAAGCTCGGTGTAATGAAGCAGACATGGAGGGCCCCACAGAAGGAGGTCAGCATGTTGACAGTTCTCCGTTCATAAAACCCAAAGATGGCGTAGACTCCTTTGGAGAACTGGGAACAGACTGGAGGAGGAGAAGAGAAGGATTAATAGAAGATGCTGCAAGGAAGCTGGTAGATGGCTCCAAAACTAATCCATCCACTAGTTCATCCATCCCAACTCATCATCCTTCCTTTCATCTATCATCTGGCCATCCACCCATCCAACCAATCTATCCATCCATCCTTCCAACTTACCAGTCTAATCCAACTGTCCATCCATTTTACCTATCTGTGCATCCCACTCACCCATCCATCTGTCTGACCTAATGTTTAGGAGGCACCAATTCCATGCCAGATGTTATCATGCTTACCAATTATAAATATACACAAACTATTTTCATATGTTCTCTTACTTTATCTGTGCAACGACCTTCTTAATGTAGAAGAGGGATGAATGAGTCATTTTTTTAAAGGGAGAAACTAAGGCTCAGAAAGTTACTGAACATGTCTAAGATGGCACAGCTAGGGCATATCTGAATTGGGTAGACATCTTAACCTCAATCCAGTCATCTTTCCATGACACTGCCCATCACTTTAAGGCAAAGCATTAAAAGTTGTTATAGGAAGAAGGTCTATCAGCTTGCTGCTCACACATGTTTAGAAAATAAGTGTTGATATTCTCAGTCTACCCTTAGCTTTCAGTGTACATTTCTCTGCCGATGTTCACTTTGTGTTTGTACATCCTGCTAGCTGATTTTTCAGGCCCCCCAGTGTATCAGACATAGTAATAGTTTAGCTGTGTAAACATCCCCATGGGAGCCATTTTGTAAGATCCCAGTGCAGTTACCAATCCCGGTGTATGGTTTATTACATGCTGGTTAGAACATAATATTAAAAAACCAAAGTCACAGGGCCAAACCCCAGGCCAAACCTCAGTAAAATTTATAATATGCTCTGTATGGTATTTTTAGGTTTTCTTCTCCCTCTGCCGTGATGAAATATTATCCTGTGGGATATGAATCTTATATTCTACATCTATTCCCTCATGTCAGTTAGCTACTAAACTCATTTTAGGATGAGGGTTCATTGTCTTTGCCCCAGTGAAGTAGGTGACCCACCCTAAAGCCATCTCCAAGGCGTGAAATTACCCTGCTCATATGGACTGTGAGATGAATCATTCTCATCACAGTAACAGTATTTTCAGGTACTTTGCAGTCCTTTCACATATATTAGACTGTTCAGTTCTCATTACAACCCTGTGACTTTGGTATTACCAGTTTTTTTTTTTAAAGATGAAAAAAGCTAGTACTCTTAGACCGTCTGTTCTCTTTAGCACATCACCTGCTTCCATGACACTACATTACCTTGTATGTGGGGGTCTCAAATTATCCTATATAAGCATCACCCAAACGTGTTCCATAAAACATTAGTCCCACAAAATGCTCCTTAAAAAAGAAAAGACTTCTTTGGCCAAATAGATTTGGGAAATGGTGTATACCTTGTCTGCATCTTGGAGGTAACTATTGCATACCAGTTGCATAAAAGGTTGTGAGGAATCCTGTTCAACTTTAACCCAGATTTTGTCAAGTCCGTACGTCCCCAGGATTCTTTGTTGGCGAATACTTTTAACATGTTATTGAAGATCCTCTGGGCTGTGCTGCACTGAAGAATGCAACTAACCACCGGTACCCAGTTGTCTATTGTGAGTCTCAGTTCCCATTCAGTCCCTAGAGCTAATGGGCTTAAAAGATCATCTCTTAAAGATTGCAACTGAACTGTACAAGTCATCTGTCTGATTCCCACTGAAAACCAGAATACTGTCTACAGGAAACTGGGCTGGTACATTAACATCTGCTTGCATACCTGCAGTTACTGGGCACTCATGACCTCTCTAGATGCCCAGTCCACTGACCGATGACTCTTTGAGACCAGAATCTCATGGAATGGCTGCTCTTAATCCATTCCATAGCCCTCCTGGTATCTGAAGGTTGTTCTCATGGACTCTAGGCTTATGGCATATGGTTTTCAGCAGTGAAATCCCTTCTCCACCCGAAGCAAGAGGGATCTTTTTAATTAACAAAAGCAAAAACAAAACAAGACAAACAAAACACGATTTCCCTTCCTTGTACAAAAGCTCTCAAAAGTTTTGAGGTTTCTCATTGCACACAGGAAGCCTCTGACCATAACTGAGAGCCCGAATGACCAGCGCCCCAGACCCCTCCCACCTCACACCCCTCTCCTTGCTCCCTGCTGTGGCCACAGGGACCTTGGTAGCTGTTCTCCAGGGCTCTGAGCTCACTGTGCCCTGAGACTCTGCGGCCGCTGCTCCCTTCCTCTACCTGCAGGCTCTTCCCTTACCTGTTTGCGATGATCACTCCTTTTTTCTTCTCTTTTTTTAAAATTTAAATTCCATTAGCCAACACATAGTACATTGTTAGTTTCAGACGTGGATTTCAATAATTCATCAGTTGTGTATAACACCCAGTGCTCATTGCATCACTCCTTTTCGGCAGTTGTATCTCAGCTCAAATCTCACCCCCTCAAAGGGCCTTCCTTCATCACCTCTTCTTGGTAGTGACTCCCCTCACCTGCCTCCCCACACCTGCCTCTCTGTCACATCACACTGTCTTATTTCCCAGACTTTCCTATTATCTGAAACCACTTCCTTTTTTTGCTTGTTTATATCTGCTTGGGTCAGTGTTAATCCTGGAAAACAGGGGTTTCACTTGTGCCCCAAAGCCAGCATAGTGCCTGGGACACGGTAGGGCAAATGAGTATTTACTGAATGAGTGCATGATAAATGTTTGATAAGAGGGTCCACATGACTTAAGGTATGAGGGGGAGCTGGGCCCAAACAGAGATGACTACTGGGTCACCCTGGATCTCCGGCTCCTCTAAAGTAGCTATTTATCCTTTCCCACTCAGACTGTTTTCTCTTTCACCCTAATGAGGACAGTCTATCTGTTCGCAGCAGACAATAGGCATTGTCTTTAAAATATCTATTGTAATTGCCAGAATCAAGATTTCTATAAGTATGGATTTCTCCACCAGGAAGCATACATTGTATATTATTCTCCCTATGTTAAATATAGATTTGTCAAAAAGCACAATCCATCTTTCTAAGTGAAGTGTATAGAGGGAGCATATAAACCCGTTAAAATATTATAATATGCTCTGTACGGCATTTTTAGGATTTCTTCTCCCTCCGCTGTGATGAAATATTATCCTGTGGGATATGAATCTTATATTCTACATCTATTCCCTCATGTCATCCACTCGGTTTCACACCTTCAGCTGGGCCTCTGCGGCCCTCATGGCTGGTGTTTCTTGCTAGAATTTAGAAGCAAAGGAGGAAAGGAGGAGATGGAGGTGTAAGAAATAGGAGTTGGTGCACGTGATCAAATCCTTAGACACACAAGAGGCCAGGAATTTTTCCCTCTCAAATGATCTCCCTATTTTCCCTCTTCAAATTTATCTTCCCTTAACTGAGTGCTTTATCCTCTAAGGCTAGGAGGGTACATTTACCCACAGCTCCCTAAAAGAACATGGCTTGGAGGTAGCTTGGCCTGGATTTACGTGAGTGGACCTTGACCCTCAGAATTGCTTGGCATCTGACCTGCAAGCTAGCTCCTCATTTTGACCAAGCAGGAGCGGCCACAGAGAGAGAGAGACAGAGAGACAGAGAGATAGAGAGACATGCAGAGACAGAGAAAGAGAGAGAGAGAGAGATTGAGAGAGAGGCACTCTGTAGCCCAAGGCCTGTGGAGAATGCAGTCATTGGTTAAATATTGAGAAATACATTTAGTAGTTGTAGGGCATTTCTTTGAATCTGTCATAGTAAATATTCAATCAGAACAGATAAGGTGGTCTTGTTAGAAAAAAAAAAAAAAGGACTAAACTAGATGCCAAAAGACCCAGAGGGTTCTTTTGGGTTTTATCATAACACAGCAGTTATGTGACCTTGAGCAAATCACACGTTTTCCCTGGGCTTCAGTTTTCCCATCTGTAAAATCAGGGTTTGAACTCTGTAATATGTAACATCCCTTCAGGAGCCAACATCCTAGATTCTATTCTAATTCACTCAAACATGTTTACCGATTGACAACACTATAGTTATTTGCTGGTCAAACTTTTAGCAACCCCCAGAAGCAGGTATAGGCTCTCAGTTCTTGGATCTGATTGTAGCAAACTCCTAGCACTAAACCTAGATGCATCCAGAGCCTTGAGTTTTATGTAAGAATCAATTCTAACCTGCTGTATGAGTTGGTTACACCATAGAGAGTGAGAGGAGGCAAATCGGAAAAGGGGCTGGAGGTGGGGACTGCACGGTCATGTACAGCAAGCAGGAGGAAGAAGTGGGCACCTTCAGAAGCAGAACTCTGCCGGGCACTGCTCTCTCTCAGACTCACTCTGTTGTTGAATCAGAGTAGGCTGGACTGTGCGTGGTACCCTCCACTCAAGACAGCAGTGGTGCATAAAATGTCTCCGACAGTAATAATTAGGAGCTGACATTTGAGCACTTACAAGGACATTCCCTTACATTGACTCCCTTCCTCCTATGAGGCACGTTACAAGGGGGAAAGTGAGGCCCAGGACTGGTACAAGGCCCAGCTGAGATCTGAGCTCCACCAGTCTGATCACAGGGCTTGAGCTCTTCACCTCTATGATGTGCTGTCCCTTCCTCCCCAGAAAGTTTGGTAAAAAACAGTCTTGGTACCTGGGTCAGCTTCAGTTTCTTTTTTTTTTTTTT